ATTCTGGTGTCCTTTGACAGCTCTTTGGTCTTGGCCATAGTGGAGTTTGGAGTGTGACTGTTTGAGGTTGTGGACAGGTGTCTTTTATACTGATAACAAGTTCAAACAGGTGCCATTAATACAGGTAACGAGTGGAGGACAGAGGAGCCTCTTTTTTTTTTTTTTTTTTATACTTTGTTTATTGAATTTTCAGTACCAGCATTTAGTAAATAATTGCACTTGAAAGTTATTTGGTATGAATATGGAACAACAATTTGAAGACAACGATACAGCAAAACATAGAGAGACAGACATGAAAGAAAAAATAGACATTAAACACATAAATAAGATAAAACACAAAAAAATAAATAAATAAATAAATAAATAAATAAATATAAAATAAGCAAAAAATAATAATCAAAAAATAAATAAAAAATAAAAAAATAAAAAAAAGGGAACAATATCTGTTTTGATCCAGTTGTTATAGGTCAGCTAGCACAGTTATTACCGTCCTTAACATCCGAAATGTCGTATATGCACATACCAGGCTTCTTACATCACCAATATATAAATACACATCACTCTGGAACTGCAGGGAAATGTATTCTTTTAACATAAGAAAAGAAGGGAGCCCACTTTGCATAGAATTTGTCTACAGACCCATTGAGTGTCTGTTTTATTTTCTCCAACTTTATGCAATTCAAAATAGATTTAATCCAAAGAGCATGAGAAGGGGCTGCAGGGGATTTCCATCTAAGTAAAATTAATCGTCTCGCTAACAACGTGACAAAGGCAATTACATCCTTATTCATTTTGGTCAATTGTATTGTGGGTAAGGAAACTCCAAATAATGCAATGAGAGGGTCTGGCTCGATCTGTGTGCCGCTTAATTCTGAGAGTGTGTTAAAGATGTCTTTCCAGAAACCAACAAGAGATGGGCAGCACCAAAACATGTGCACATGATTAGCAGGGGACTGGTTACATCGAACACAATTAGGGTTCACATCCTTGTAAATTTTTGATAGTCTTGCTTTGGTCCAGTGGGCCCTATGAATGAGTTTGCATTGGATGAGGCCGTGTCGAGCGCAAATAGAAGAGCTATGTACCCTTTTGAGTGCCCCTTCCCATAGTTCATCAGATATTTCCTCACCCAGTTCCTCCTCCCAAGAGGATTTGATATTGTTTAATGAGATGGCTTGTAGTGAGCAAATTTGACTATAGATTATTGACAATGTGCCTTTCTGATTAGGAAGTGGGGTGAGAAATGTGTCGAACTGTGTTTCCACCAGAAAGGTTGGGGAATCCTGGATCTATGCTGCGGACATAACTCCGGACTTGTAAGAACCTAAAAAAATGATGTCTGGGGAGACCAAATTTAGCTGATAATTGTTGAAACGTACTAAATGTATTGTTAGTATACAGATCTCTGAATCTTTTAATACCGAGATTAGACCATGTTGAGAAAGCACCATCAATCATAGATGGGGGAAAAGCTGGGTTTGAGGCTACCGGAGCCAAGGAAGAGGTTGTTTGAAACCCAAAGTGGCGCCTAAATTGATTCCAGATCTTCAATGTTGTTTTGACACATATATTATTGGTGAAGGAGGAGTAAGGGCCTGTAACAGAGGAGTGAGCGAGGGAAGACAATGATGCCGGTGTAGACGAGGCAGCCTCCATCTCCAGCCAAGTTGGGGGTGGGAATATCACTCTGCTCTGCAACCAGTACTGAATGATCCTAAGGTTAGCGGCCCAATAATAGAATCTGAAATCTGGTAGAGCTAGACCGCCGTCTGGTTTGGGCCTCTGCAAGAGCTGTTTTCGCATCCTAGGAGGCTTTTTGTCCCATATAAAGGGTAGAATTAGGCCGTCGATCTTTTTGAAAAATGTATTGGGTAGAAATATTGGAAGGCACTGATAGAGGTATAAGAATTTAGGGAGAGTATTCATTTTAATAGAGTTAATTCTAGCAACTAAGGAGAGGTGTAGCAAAGACCACCGTTCCAAATCGTCCTTAGTACGGGTTAAGAGAGGAGCAAAGTTGGCTTGAAAAAGGTTTTCAAACCTAATTGTGACATGTACCCCGAGATAAATAAAACTACTGTGAGCTATTTTAAATGGCCAAGTTATGTAAAGGGGATTTTTTTGCAGCCATGTTAAGTGGCATCAATTCACTTTTACTGAGATTTAGTTTATACCCTGATAAGTGACCGAAGGATGCGAAAGTAGCAAGGGCAGCAGGGACAGAGACAGAAAGATTGGATGTGTATATTAATAAATCATCTGCATATAAAGACAGTTTGTGTTCGTGTCCGTATCTGACTATGCCTTTGATGAGGGGGTTGGAGCGAAGTGCTATTGCAAGTGGCTCTATGGCGAGGGCAAACAGTAAGGGACTTAAAGGGCAACCCTGACGTGTCGATCTTTGCAAAGGGAAGCGATCTGATTGAGTGTTATTAGTCCTGACAGAGGCTTGGGGGGATGAGTACAGAAGTTTTATCCAGGTCATGAATTTGGAGCCAAAGCCAAATTTATTTAGAGTGTAAAAAAGGTATTTCCATTCCACCCGATCAAACGCTTTCTCCGCGTCCAGGGATATAATGGCTTCAGAGGTATTGTCGACAGAAGGATTGTATATAATATTAAATAATCTTCGGAGATTGAAGAATGAGTGTCTATTTTTTATAAATCCTGTTTGATCCGGAGAGATAATTGATGGGAGGACTGTTTCTAGCCGCGTTGCCAGAATTTTGGCTAGAATTTTATAGTCCACATTTAGCAGGCTAATTGGACGGTATGATGCACAGTCAAGAGGGTCTTTGTTTTTTTTAAGAATAACACAAATGGTTGCTTGAGTGAGAGTATTTGGGAGAGCACCATTTACAAATGCATCATTGTACATTTCAATTAGAATAGGGGCTATTTTGGAGATAAACTTTTTATAAAACTCTGTCGAGTAGCCATCAGGCCCTGGGCTTCTCCCAGATTGAAGGGATTTGACAGCGTTAGACAGTTCTTCAACAGTGATCGGCTGCTATAATTTTTTAACCAAATCCCGGCCGACCGAAGGCACAGAAAGTGAGTGGAAGAAATCATCCAATTCCAGTGTATCCGCTTTACTTTCAGAGGTATATAGAGACTGGTAATATCTCTTGAACTCCTCATTGATCCCCCCAGGATCTAATGATATCCCAGATGATGTACGAATTTTTGTAATCTGAGATGATGATGATAGTTGACGTAACTTGTGAGCTAATAATTTACTGGCTTTATCTCCTTGTTCATAGTAAGTGCTCCTAGACTTGACAAGCATTTCAGTAACCTGGTCTGTTAATAGTGTGTCAAATTCTGCTTGCAGAGTTAAACGTTCCTTATAAATATCCGGGGATGGTGAAACGGCATAAATGTCATCTAATTGGGCAATACAGCGTGTTAACATAGATAACCTATGCCTTTTCAATTTGTTCTCATGTGCGGTGTAGGAGATAATTTCACCTCTGATATAAGCTTTCAAAGTTTCCCAGAGAGTAGACGCAGAGATGTTTGGGGTTCTATTTGTAATCATGAAAAAGTCGATTTGACTCAAAACAAAATTGACAAAGTGTTCATTACTGAGCAGTTGAGTTTTTTAGTCGCCAAGGCGGTCGCTGATTGTCAACATTTTGAAAAGCTACTTCCATAGTAACAGGGGCGTGGTCAGATACAACAATTGGGTTATATGAACATGAAGATATGGAGTGGAGGAGCCGGTCATCAACAAGGAAGTAGTCTATGCGCGTAAAAGTGTGGTGAACCGATGAGAAAAAAGAGTATGCTTTCCCAGCTGGATTAACCATTCTCCAAGGATCTGAGACTGCGAATTCAGACATAAAGGTTCGAACAACTCTAGCTGAGGTTGATAAGGTGGTAGGTTTAGTGGAGGATCGATCAAATTGTGGGTCTAACCAACAGTTAAAGTCACCTCCTAAAATCAACATATGGGTGGACATATCTGGGAGTGTAGAGAAAAACGATTTGAAAAAATCACCATTGTCCCAATTAGGAGCATAGATATTAACAAGAAGAACCTTTGTATTGAGCAGCCTACCACTGACAATTATATATCTACCATGGGGATCTGCGATCACCTTAGAACATGTAAAAGGTACCGATCTGTGAAGTAAAATAGCCACCCCTCTCGCCTTACTCTGAAATGAGGAATGGAACACCTGACCCACCCATCTGCACCTAAGACTTGAGTGTTGTGATACCTTCAGATGAGTTTCTTGGAGAAAGATGATGTGAGCTTTCAAATGATGAAGATGGTGTAGCACCTTACTACGTTTAACTGGGTTATTTTATGCCCCTGCAGTTCCAAGTAAGAAAATTAAAGCCATTCCCTCCAGCAGTATGGGCTACACTAGGCTGAGTCATATCTTAAGAGAGAGAGAGGATGTGTAAAGGACAAGGTACAATGTAAACTGAAGATCTTAGTTGAACCTAAAAGCGCAAATGTAAAAAACAAAGACAAGCGAAGAGGCACAAAAAACATATACAAACTATATACAAATAGAGAGTGAACAAACCCTTCCCTCACACCCGCCCTTGCCGAAGCATCTCCCCAAATGAGATGCAAGCAAAACCCTAAATACAAAGAAAGTTTAGAGCTAAGCATGATAACTCTTACTCTGTGCTACCTAAGATTAGTGACCATTTAACTAGAGTAAGCCAAACATGGATAGAATGGTCCCCAACAGAGTCTAAGGAAAACTATCCTCGATTAAGAGAGGTTTAACCTCGACGCAGATGGTAAATGATCAAACTGAAACAGCCATGCAGACCCCCAGATATTGGCATTAGAGGCGGCAAACCTGGGCTGGAAATAAAGAGATAAAAAGAGAATGACCTTCATATGTCGATGAACCCAGCAAAGATGGCTTCGTTAGTCACCCATTCGGCCTGCTAACTAGCCTGTTAGGAAGACCAGCCAGCCAACCATTTGTTACACACCGTGCGGTACAACAGCCGCTTTCACGTTCTTGTTGATGAAATCTGCCGCTATAGCCGGGTCCTCGAATCTGTGCATGGAGCCGTTCCGGTAAAGTCAGTCTCAAAACCGCAGGGTAGATGAGGCCGAACTTCACGCCCGGGCAGGCGTGTAGTTGGCGTTTCACAGCTCCAAAGCTAGCCCGCCTCTTAGCCACAGCTGTTGTGTAGTCCGCAAATATCGAGACTCTTTTACCCTTATGTAGAAGAGGGGATGCTTCTCCCGATCTTCTCAGTATGTCGTTGCGGACGTGAAGAAATGCACCCTGATGACAAATGGTCGCGGGGGTTCTCCATCCCTGGGTCGGCTACGCAGAGTGCGGTGAGCCCGGTCTAGCAATGGCTTCTCCTCTAGCCCGAGCAGCTCCTGAAGTAGCTGGGCCATGTACTCCGTGGGCCTTGGGCCCTCCACTCCCTCCGGTATTCCCAGTAGACGAATGTTGTTCCTCCGCATTCTACTTTCCATATCTTTCGCATCTATTATCGAGGAATGCCACCCTAGTTGTCAATGAGCCGACGTTTAGCCTCTAGCTCGCTAATGCGAGTGCTGTGGTCTGTAGCACCTCGCTCCAAATCCGATAAAGTCACCCCATGTGCGTCGAGCTTATTCTGTATACTCTCGATAGATTTTTTAAGCTCGTCTTTGATCGTTGATATCTCTGACCTGAGATTGGTAGAGAGACAGTCAATTTTTTCCGAAAATGTCGGTTTTGAGGGTGCCTATCACGGATTGCAGCATCTCCACAGTCAGTGTTTCCGTGGGGCCGGCATTGGCAGCGTTCGGTGGCGGGGGTGAGTCGGGAGAAGTTGCAGGCTTGCGCGGCCTGCTCTTGCAGACTCTGTTTTTGGCCGGGTTGATGTCATTACGAATTTAAATTTATTAAACTTGAAACTGAGTTGTTTATGGGTCTCTTCAGACGCCTGGGCAAACAGAAATGTATGCAATTTTGCAAAGTTAAATATATAAATTTGGTCACTAATTCAGGAGCGATAGGGAGACGCGTGCTACATCCTTGGCTTCCAACAGCGCCCCCCGACAGAGGAGCCTCTTAAAGAAGTTGTTACAGGTCTGTGAGAGCCAGAAATCTTGCTTGTTTGTAGGTGACCAAACACTTATTTTCCACCATAATTTGCAAATAAATTCATTAAAAATCCTACAATGTGATTTTCAGGATTTTTTTTCTCATTTTGTCTGTCATAGTTGACGTGTACCTATGATGAAAATTACAGGCCTCTCTCATCTTTTTAAGTGGGAGAACTTGCACAATTGGTGGCTGACTAAATACTTTTTTTCTCCACTGTATACAGGGGGGGGGTACCGGTGCAGAGTCAATGTGCGGGGGCACCGGCTAGTTGAGGTAGTTGAAGTAATATGTACATGTGGGTAGAGTTAAAGTGACTATGCATAAATAATTAACAGAGTAGCAGCAGCGTAAAAAGATTGGGTGGGGGGGGGGGCAGTGCAAATAGTCCGGGTAGCCATGATTAGCTGTTCAGGAGTCTTATGGCTTGGGGGTAGAAGCTGTTGAGAAGTCTTTTGGACCTAGACTTGGCACTCCGGTACCGCTTGCCGTGCGGTAGCAGAGAGAACAGTCTATGACTAGGGTGGCTGGATTCTTTGACAATTTTGAGGGCCTTCCTCTGACACTGCCTGGTATAGAGGTCCTGGATGGCAGGAATCTTGGCCCCAGTGATGTACTGGGCCATACGCACTACCCTCTGTAGTGCCTTGCGGTCCGAGGCCAAGCAGTTGCCATACCAGGCGGTGATGCAACCAGTCAGGATGCTCTCGATGGTGCAGCTGTAGAATTTTTTGAGGATCTGAGGACCCATGCCAAATCTTTTCAGTCTCCTGAGGGGGAATAGGCTTTGTCGTGCCCTCTTCACGACTGTCTTGGTGTGTTTGGACCATGATAGTTTGTTGGTGATGCGGACACCAAGGAACTTGAAGCTCTCAACCTGTTCCACTACAGCCCCGTCGATGAGAATGGGGGCGTGCTCAGTCCTCTTTTTTTTCCTGTAGTCCACAATCATCTCCTTTGTCTTGGTCACGTTGAGGGAGAGGTTGTTAACCTGGCACCACACGGCCAGGTCTCTGACCTCCTCCCTATAGGCTGTCTCATCGTTGTCGGTGATCAGGCCTACCACTGTTGTGTCATCGGCAAACTTAATGATGGTGTTGGAGTCGTGCCTGGCCATGCAGTCATGGGTGAACAGGGAGTACAGGAGGGGACTGAGCACGCACCCCTGAGGGGCCCCCGTGTTGAGGATCAGTGTGGCAGATGTGTTGTTACCTACCCTTACCACCTGGGGGCGGCCCGTCAGGAAGTCCAGGATCCAGTTGCAGGGGGAGGTGTTTAGTCCCAGGATCCTTAGCTTAGTGATGAGCTTTGAGGGCACTATGGTGTTGAATGCTGAGCTGTAGTCAATGAATAGCATTCTCACGTAGGTGTTCCTCTTGTCCAGGTGGGAAAGGGCAGTGTGGAGTGCAATAGAGATTGCATCATCTGTGGATCTGTTGGGGCGGTATGCAAATTGGAGTGGGTCTAGGGTTTCTGGGATAATCGTGTTGATGTGAGCCATGACCAGCCTTTCAAAGCACTTCATGGCTACAGACGTCAGTGCCATGGGTCGGTAGTCATTTAGGCAGGTTATCTTAGTGTCCTTGGGCACGGGGACTATGGTGGTCTGCTTGAAACATGTTGGTATTACAGACTCAGTCAGGGACATGTTGAAAATGTCAGTGAAGACACTTGCCAGTTGGTCAGCACATGCTCGGAGTACACGTCCTGGTAATCCATCTGGCCCTGCGGCCTTGTGAAAGTTGACCTGATTAAAAGTCTTACTCACATCGGCTACGGATAGCGTGATCACATAGTCATCTGGAACAGCTGGTGCCCTCATGCATGCTTCAGTGTTGCTTGCCTCGAAGCGAGCATAGAAGTGGTTTAGCTCGTCTGGTAGGCTTGTGTCACTGGGAAGCTCACGGCTGTGCTTCCCTTTGTAGTCTGTAATAGTTTTCAAGCCCTGCCACATCCGACGAGCGTCAGAGCCGGTGTAGTACGATTCAATCTTGGTCCTGTATTGACTCTTTGCCTGTTTGATGGTTCGTCGGAGGGCATAGTGGGATTTCTTATAAGCGTCCGGGTTAGAGTCCCGCTCCTTGAAAGTGGCAGCTCTACCCTTTAGCTCAGTGCGGATGTTTCCTGTAATCCATGGCTTCTGGTTGGGGTATGTACGTACGGTCACTGTGGGGACGACATCATCGATGCACTTATTGATGAAGCCAGTGACTGATGTGGTGTACTCCTCAATGCTATCTGAAGAATCCCGGAACATGTTCCAGTCTGTGCTAGCAAAACAGTCCTGTAGCTTAGCATCTGCATCATCTGACCACCTTTTTATTAACCGAGTCACTGGTGCTTCCTGCTTTAGTTTTTGCTTATAAGCAGGAATCAGGAGGATAGAGTTATGGTCAGATTTGCCAAATGGAGGTTGAGGGAGAGCTTTGTATGCGTCTCTGTGTGTGGAGTAAAGGTGGTCTAGAGTTTTTTTTCCTCTGGTTGCACATTTAACATGCTGGTAGAAATTAGGTAGAACGGATTTAAGTTTCCCTGCATTAAAGTCCCCGGCCACTAGGAGCGCTGCCTCTGGATGAGCGTTTTTCCTGTTGACTTATGGCCTTATACAGCTCATTCAGTGCAATCTTAATGCCAGCATTGGTTTGTGGTGGTAAATAGACAGCTATGAAAAATATAGATGAAAACTCTCTTGGTAAATAGTGTGGTCTACAGCTTATCATAAGATACTCTACCTCAGGTGAGCAAAACCTCGAGACTTCCTTAGTATTTGATTTTGTGCACCAGCTGTTGTTTACAAATAAACACAGACCGCCACCCCTTGTCTTACCGGAGTCAGCCGTTCTATCTCGCCGATGTAGCGTATAGCCCGCTATGCTATCCATGTCGTCGTTCAGCCACGACTCGGTGAAACATAAGATATTACAGTTTTTAATGTCCCGTTGGTAGGATAACCGTAATCTTAGGTCATCCAATTTATTTTCCAATGATTGAAGATTGGCTAATAGGATTGATGGGAGCGGCAGTTTACTCGTTCGCCGTCGGATCCTTACAAGGCACCCGACCTACGTCCACGATATCTCCGTCTCTTCCTCATGCGAATGACAGGGATTTGGGCCTTGTCGGGTGTCTGTAGGATATCCTTCGCGGCCGCCTCGTTGAAGAAAAATTATTCGTCCAATACGAGGTGAGTGATCGCTGTCCTGATATCCAGAAGAGACGATGGCAGAAACATTATGTACAAAATAAATCACAAATAACGCGGAAAAACTCTCCGGCGCCATTCTGAGCAAGGTGCACCTGCGTAATGATCATGCTGTTTAATCAGCTTCTTGATATGCCACACCTGTCAGGTGGATGGATTATCTTGGCAAAGGAGACATGCTCACTAACAGTGATGTAAACAAATTTCTGCACAAAATTGGAGAGAATTTGTGCGTATGGAACATTTCTGGGATCTTTTATTTCAGCTCATTAAATATGGAACCAACACTTACAATGTTGCGGTTATATATTTTTTCAGTATAAAATGATAGAGAACAAGCTATGAAAGAAGGTACTGGAGTTTTTGGTGCAGGTACAGTCAACTAGCGCAAAAACTATATTCCGATATTATCAAAACGATACGATATTGTAAAAAAAGATTTTTCCCCCCATCACTACTTTTGACATTAAGACACATGAGCACATCCTTGCGTGCATTTTCACACACTCTGCTGCACACTGGGGTATCGCCATTCATTTCATTGGAGTCGCTGCTGTCTGTTTCACGGATTGGAGGACGTTTGTTTTGTTACCCTTCTGCAGGGGGGCCTCTGATTGGCTGAATCTGTGCTGTCTGGGCCTAATATCTGTCAGGGACTTCACCCTCCATGTGGGGTAAGCCATGTCATAAGGCATATCATTAATTTCGGCGAATAAACAAAATGATTTGTCCAAAGCCCTAGAAGGGAGATGGGTAACTTCCTGACTTATCAGCAGTCAGACTTTATGACAGCATCTTTCCCACATACAGTGTGTAATTTAGAATATAATAAAATACAACTTTATTGTCCATCCAGGATGGACATTTTTCTTAGAGGTTATTAGTCATTTGTTTTGATGTAAAAGGATAGTCCTATTAAATTGGTGCATAGAGGTAAACACATTCTGTCCCAAGGAAGACTAGGATGGAAGGGGTGCTCAGAGAAGTGCTTACACAAATTTAGAAGCATGACTCTGACTTGCAGCCATGTAGAACTTCCTCATTATAGAGGGTAAAGGGTTGCATTGAGCAAGGCTGAGGTGCAGTGTGTTTTACACAGCATTTTCTGGCTGTTCTTTTTAATGTCTCTCTGAAATGGCCAGAAGCCATGATGAGCACCACTGCTCCCAGGTCGGAACTCTGTGTTTGCAGTTTAACCTAGGACTGACGGCTAATTGGATGAATCAGTTTGGAGGGAGGGGATGAATGGTGCAGGTTACAGGCTGTTGTAGCAAGGCCATTGTCATGAACATGACATCACCCTCTTTGAACTCTTAGGATAGAACCAAGCATCCTGATTAGTCAATATCAAGGCCTCAACATGTGGTTTTACTCTGTATGAACAGCCAGTGTTATTACCTAAATAGTCTGAACTCTGAACCCTCATCCTGATAACTAACACATCATGATCTAATATTTGATATAATAACTGCTCTAATAATGTATGTGGAATTGGATAGGATATCAGATATTTATGGTCTTATAACAGTTTTTAGCCATCTAAAGTGTTAGTTTTCTACTTTTGTTTTTGAAGATCAATGTAGAATACTGACAATCTCTCTCCCCTGCGTGTTCCAGATATGTCCTAATGGGCAGATTGAAGAGGATCCTCCTGTTGGTGCTGGGAGTCTACATAACCATCCCCTTCATCGTCAAACTATGCCCCTCCATTCAGGCAAAAATTGTATTTTTGAATTTTGGTGAGTAGATGAAACCAATAAGGCATGTTCTGTTGTATTGTTTTTTTATGGGAGTCTAAATAAGCTTGCTCCATCAGTTAGCTCTGGCCAATGGGTATTTCACCTGGTAGGTGTGGATACTTGTAGCTCTACTCATTTAGTAAGTGTGCAATACTGCTTACATAAGCAACGGTGCATGTGTTAGTGTGTGAGAGTGCACATGTGAACCTGCTCATCACCTGAAACACAGCAGCACGCCAACTCCAGACGGAGGCAGTTAAGATACTTTGCCAAGATACTCCTGAGTGGCGCAGTGGTCTAAGGCACTGCATCGCAGTGCTAACTGTGCCACTAGAGATCCTGGTTCGAATCCAGGCTCTGTCGCAGCCGGCCGCGACCGGGAGACTCATGGGCGGCGCACAATTGGCCCAGCGTCATCCAGGGTAGGGGAGGGAATGGCCGGCAGGGATGTAGCTCAGTTGATAGAGCATGGCGTTTGCAACGCCAGGGTTGTGGGTTCGCTTCCCACGGGGGGCCAGTATAAAAAAAAAATGTATTCACTAACTGTAAGTCGCTCTGGATAAGAGCGTCTGCTAAATGACTAAAAATGTAAATGTAAAATGTTAAGAGAGGGTGGATATTCCACCTGCAAGGGTACAATACAAAGCTCCCACCGCTCTCTCCCTCCGTCTGATATGCATTATAGGTGTGTAACTGTAGCAGTTTCATGCATTTTAGGTAGGAACAGGCAAGATTACACCTAAAACATTGATGGGTCGGTCAGTAGCATTGATTTGGAGTGCCAGTTGTGGGCTGTGACCACAGCTGATTCTAACTTGTAGCTACGTGGTTTCAACCAATCGGTATCCAGGACGAGAACTACCCGTTGTATAACATTGTAACATTTAATAGGGTGTCCAATCAAAAACGTATATTTTGACCAATGAAATAATGTTAATTGTGTATATACTCCACCGGCCTTCTAGCCACTGCCACTCCTCTTCTCATCATTCCATTTGTTTTGTCTTGTTTTTACTCACACCTGGTTCATATCCCCTCATCAGTCCCTGTATAAGTATTCCCTCTGGCCCCCATGTCTTTGTGTGTGATTGTTTCCATGTGGAGGTGTCGTTAGCTTGGTGGAGCATTATGTACTTTATCGAACCGCTGTATTGGCCGAATGAACCATTATTCTGTGATTTACACCTCCTGCGCCTGACTTCGTCCAAATCACCCGCTACAGAATCACATACCCAATATCATGGAGTCAGCAGGAGCGGGGAATATGCCTGGAGTCTTTGAGCGGCTCCGGGAGCATTCCACCATGTTAGCCAGATTGGGCGAAGCGATGGATCGGGTTCTCCAGGCCCTCCAGCGCCTGGAGAGGAGAGGACACGACCCTAAGGAACCAGCTGAGCGACCGGATCCAGCCACCCAGACACAAGCACCCAGAGGTATTCACCTGTCTCGACCGAGGGAATACGACGGGACAGTGCCCCACTGCCAGGGTTTCCTCCTGCAGCTGGACCTCTATTTCCACACCATCAGCCCTGCTCCATCGGATCGGGAGAAGGTGTGCGCCCTCGTCTTCTGCCTCTCGGGGAAAGCCCTGGAGTGGGCCAACGCGGTCTGGAGTGAAGGAGGAGACGCGTTGGACAACTACGGAGAGTTTGCTTGCCTCTTCCGGGCAGTCTTCGATCATCCCAAATAAATGCTTCACAGAGTTCAAGTAACAGACACATCTCAACATCAACTGTTCAGAGGAGACTGTGTGAGTCAGGCCTTCATGGTTGAATTGCTGCAAAGAAACCACTACTAAAGGACACTAATAATAAGAAGAGACCTGCTTGGGCCAAGAAACACGAGCAATGGACATTAGACCAGTGGAAATTTGTCCTTTGGTCTGGAGTCCAAATTTGAGATTTTTGGTTCCAACCGGCGTGTCTTTGTGAGACGAGGTGTGGGTGAACGGACGATCTCCGCATGTGTAGTTCCCACCGTAAAGCATGGAGGAGGTGTTATGGTGTGCTTTGCTGGTGACACTGTCTGTGATTTATTTAGAATTCAAGGCACACTTAACCAGCATGTTTACCACAGCATTCTGCAGCAATATGCCATCGCATCTGGTTTGGGCTTAATGGGACTATCATTTGTTTTTCAACAGGACAATGACCCAACACACCTCCAGGCTGTGTAAGTGCTATTTTACCAAGAAAGAGAGTGATGGAGTGCTGCATCAGATGACCTGGCCTCCACAATCCCCCGACCTCAACCCAATTGAGATGGTTTGGGATGAGTCGGACGGCAGAGTGAAGGAAAAGCAGTCAACAAGTGCTCAGCATATATGTGGGAACTCCTTCAGGGCTGTTGGAAAAGCATTCCAGCTGAAGCTGGTTGAGAGAATGCCAAGAGTGTGCAAAGCTGTCATCAAGGCAAAGGGTGGCTATTTGAAGAATCTCAAATATAAAATACATTTTGATTTGTTTAACACCTTTTTGGTTACTACATGATTCCATGTGTTATTTCATAGTTTTTGATGTCTTCATTATTATTCTGCAATGTAAAAATTTTTAAAAATAAAGAAAAACCCTTGAATGAGTAGGTGTGTCCAAACCTTTGACTGGTAGTGTAGGTCTGTGAAGGAAGTGGATGGTCAGAGAGTGGTGTGGCGCAAAAACAATTCTGGGGCCCGTAGTTTTTCCTGATCTTCTTACCTAACCAGGTAAAACTCCGGACTTTATATGGTATGACATGATTAATCTGTAGCACATTTTTTAAATATGGGCTATGATGAGAGCAGAGTATTTCTAATCAGGTCACATGAGGAGGATGAAACCCCTGTCCAACTGCAGCAACCGTGTACTTGTTCATATTAATTATATTTTAAAGAAGGACTAGGGGGGGGTTCCTATACACAGACTGAAAAAAAGTATTGTTTCCATGCAACACAGCATGTCAGATCGCTAATGTTTAGGTTTGGATAGGCTGCTACATTTACAGTATGTAACAGTTTTTGCTTGTCTGTTGGGAGTGATGAGTTATCACGCTTGCCAAATGAATACTGGAGGAAAGTGGAGAGCGCGCCTTGAGCTTTGTCCACCCGCGACCTGCGATTTCCATGAATCTGATTGGTCAAGACACGCAAAGAGCCTGCAGCAGCACTCCGATGTGAAGGACAGAGAAATTGTGCGAGAGTTGACAAATCATGAAGCAAAATGTTCTAAAAAACAGCACTTTGCCCCTCTTTTTAACACTTTATGTCAATATATTTTATTAAACTAAATCAAGTGGTGTGGTGCTGCCACACATGATTTGAAAAGTGCTGTGGCAAATGCCGCCCGTCACACGTTTTCCGGCGGCCCTAGAATGGTGATTTGTGACTGTCTTGTATAACATTATAGAGTGGAAAGAGGCAGAGTGCTGCTATTTCTGGAGCATCTGTCTCATCGATTTTTGCTGTGCTGCTGCTTTGTCAGTGATATCTTATTGTTTTAACAGATCTAACACAGCTTCTCTGTCTACCCAACCCTACCCCCTGCAGTGAGGCTGCCCTATTTCATTGACCTGAAAAGGCCGCAGGACCATGGCCTGAACCATACATTCAACTTCTACCTTCAGCCAGAGATGGGCATCAACATTGGTGTATGGTGAGAAGACACACACACACTTCAGCTGTTTTGCTAAGACTGTGTGGGATGGATCTCCCTCTCTCTCTCTCTCTCTCTCTCTCTCTCTCTCTCTCTCTCTCTCTCTCTCTCTCTCTCTCTCTCTCTCTCTCTCTCTCTCTCTCTCTCTCTCTCTCTCTCTCTCTCGTCTATGGTCGAACTAAAGAGGAACACGGAACACGACAGAAACCTCAGAGCGATGCTGCAAAGGTCCCGCGAGCGAGGAGTCTGGCTCAACCCCAAGAAGAGCACAGTCGGCGCTACAGAGGTCAGCTACTTTGGACATCTTCTCACAGCGAATGGAATCAAGCCAAATCCGCAGAAGATCTCAGCCATAAAGGAAATGTAGCCACCAAAGAACCGCGCAGAGCTGGAAACAGTGCTTGGCATGGTCAACTACTTAGCCAAGGTCGCACCCAGCCTCTCCAATGCTAATGCACGCCTGCGTCAGCTGCTAAAGTAATCCAGTGAGTTCCTCTGGGAAAAGCAACACAACATCGCTTTCCAGAAAGTGAAAGACTTGATCACGAGAGAACCAGGACCAATCCTTGCCTACTACAACCGCAACAAAGAGCTCAGACTCCAAGTGGATGCGTCGAAGTATGGACTAGGTGCAGTGCTACTGCAAGAAGGAAAACCCAATGGCTACGCTTCCAAATCTCTCACAGACTGTGAAATCAACTACGCTCAAATCGAAAAGGAGCTGTACGCCATTCTGTTCGGATGTAAGCGTGTCTATGGACGACAAGTAATTGTGGAATCCGACCACAAGCCTCTCGAGTCTCTCTCTCTCTCTCTCTCTCTCTCTCTCTCTCTCTCTCTCTCTCTCTCTCTCTCTCTCTCTCTCTCTCTCTCTCTCTTTCTCCAATTCAATTCAAAGTGCTTTATTGGCATGGAAAACATGTTTTAGATTGCCAAAGCAAGTGGAATAGATAATAAACAAAAGTGAAATAAACAATCAGAAATGAACAGTAAACGTTTACACTCATAAAAGTTTCAAAAGAATAGAGACATTTCAAATATAACATTTCTGTCAGTGTTGTAACAATGTGCAAATACACTACATGACCAGAAGTATGTGGACACCTGCTTGTCGAACATCTCATTCCAAAATCATGGGCATTAATATGGAGTTGGTCTCTCCTTTGCTGCTATAATAACAGCCTCTACTCTTCTGGTAAGGCTTTCCACTAGATGTTGGAACATTGCTGCGGGGACTTGCTTCCATTCAGCCACGAGCATTAGTGAGGTCGGGCACTGATGTTGGGCGATTAGGCATGGCTCGCAGTTGGCGTTCCAATTCATCCCAAAGGTGTTCATGGGGTTGAGGTCAGGGTTCTGTGCAGGCCAGTCAAGTTCTTCCACACCGATCTTGACAAACCATTTCTGTATGGACCTCGCTTTGTGCACGTGGTCATTATCATGCTGAAACAGGAAAGGGCCTTCCCCAAACTGTTGCCACAAAGTTGGAAGCACAGAATCGTCCAGAACGTCAAATAATAAAATGTAGTACGACAGGATCTTTCTAAACGTAGCTCTTTATTTGCTAGCTATAACGGGCATGTTCATGTGTCTCCGGCCATGATCATCTGAATATGACCTCTCCACCTGGGCAATGACATCTCAACATTTAAAACAAATACAATACCAAAGCATTTCAAGTTAACTTTTCAATAACAAGTTTACAGTCTGGAACTCTTTTAGGGCAGCGATCCGCCTACACCCATTGACATTTCACAGGTCTAGGACAGCTCTAGGTTTGACCTCTCTTCCTGACCTTGTGTGATATGAAGCAGAGCATGCTTCTGTGTCAGTCAACAGTTCTTGAAGTGTTGCAGGTAAGTATGGTGTATGTTGTGTGTGTGTGTGTTTAGTCCATCACGTTCTCTTTCAGGAGAACAGTTCATCTCATCAGTGTGTTGTTCTTTTGTGTTCAGTAGGTGACAACGATTGCGGCGGTACAGCGCTCCTTCTGTGGTGCGAACATGATATGAACGTTCAGTGTCAGCTGGTTGGATGACGACTGCTGGCTTCCAGTAGCCATGCTCCTGGATTCTAACTGACTCTCCATCGTTCAGTGGTGGCAGTGGTCTAGCTGACCTGTCATGGTATCGCTTTTGGTGTTGTTGTCTCTGTGCACGTTTTGCATGCATTTCCTTGTAGCTGACAACCTCAGGTTGCAGCTGCTGGTTGGAGCTGGGAAGGATTGAGCGAAGTCTGTGGCTCATCAACAGCTGGGCTGGTGATTTGAAGTTGTCAACTGGAGTGTTTTTGGTATTCAAGGAGGCTGAGGTAGGGGTCTCTCTTGTCTGCTTTTGCGTTTTCCATGAGTGATTTAGCAATCTGCACAGGCCATTACTTTGAGGGTAATGTGGGCTTGTGGTGATGTGTGTGAACTCCCATGCTTTTGTGAAGGATTCAAACTCATTTGATTTGTAACAGGGGCCATTGTCAGATATTACATTCTCTACAATGCCATGCCTGGCAAAGGCTGCTTTCAGCTTGTGTATCACAGCTGCAGATGTGCTGCTGTGAAGCTTGTCGAGTTCAATGTATCTGCTGTAGTAGTCCACTGTTATGATGTAGTCCTCGTTGTTCCAGGTGAACAGATCGGTTGCCACGACCTGCCAGGGTCGGTCTGGGATACAGTGAGGTAACATTGGCTCTTTGGTGTTTGAGGGGCGTCGTTCAAGACAGGTGGGGCATTTACCATGTCCTCTATTTGTTTGCACATTCCGTGCCAAAACAAAATGTCACGTGCTCTCTGTTTGCACTTTTCCATGCCCATGTGTCCAGCATGGATCTTTGTCAAAATCTCTTCTCTGAGACTGGTAGGAATGATGATGATTTTCTCTCCTTTGAAAATGATTCTGTTGATCTGTGATACTTCATCATGATGGTTCCAGAACTCCGAGACGTTCGGAGGGGATTTTCTCCTCTCCTCAGGCCATCCTGACTCTATGACTTTCCTCAGCTGTGTGAGTTGTGTGTCTTTTTCTGTTTCTGCTCGGATCTCCTTCTGTTTTGTGTCACTAACTGGTAAGTTGCTGTACATAGTGTGCACCTGCATGTCCATGCCTTCACTGAGGCTGCTGGCCTTGTAGGTAAAAAACTTCCTGGAGAGTGTGTCTGCGACAGGGATGTCTTTGCCTGGACGGTGAGGGAAGATTAAATGTCAATCAAAGAGTAAATTGCTGATGAACTGTTTATTGATTCAGTGACACAGAAAAGTCAGATATCAGAGACAAAGCAAGCCTTTGCTGACATTGAGATAGGAACACAAGGCACAGAGCTAAAGTTCAAACTAGACACTGGTGCACAAGTAAATCAAATCAAATCAAATCAAATTTTATTGGTCACATGCGCCGAATACAACAGGTGCAGACATTACAGTGAAATGCTTACTTACAGCCCTTAACCAACAGTGCATTTATTTTAAACAAAAAAGTAAGAATAAAACAATGATTGGTAATAAAACAATGAAGTAAACATTATTCCTCTGAATAAGTACCGCAACTTGACATCTGAGTGCGAGCTACAGCCCACCACGCGCAGACTGACTGGTTATGGTGGTGAACAGCTCCCAGTAAAAGGCACATGCACTTTCAAATGCAAATACAAGGAAAGTGGCATTTTTACATTGTTGACACTCGAGCACCTGCAGTGCTAGGCCTTAAGGCATATTTAGACATGGACCTCATCAAGCTAGTTTTATCAGTGACAGCACCAGTAGAGACAGAGAATGTCATGGAGGAGTTTGCTGATATTTTTACAGGAATAGGACTATTCCCAGGAGAATGTACCATTCACCTTGACCCAGACGCAACCGCTGTGGTCTACCCACCGAGAAAGATTCCCTTGCTTGGAGCATGGAGCAGTCTGACATCGTCACCAAGGTTACAGGACCGACGGATTGGGTCAACGCGTTAGTGGTGGTGGAGAAACCACGCACCGGCAAGCTCAGAGTATGTCTCGACCCAAGAGACTTGAACAAGGCTATCAAACGCCCCCATTACCCCTTACCCCTTACCGACGCTATATGGCATCACACACAAGCTAGCGGGCGCACGCTACTTCAGTGTCATGGACGCCAGATCAAGCTACTGGGATATCAAGCTCACAGAAGAGTAATCTAAGCTCACAACGTTCAACACACCATTTGGACGCTACAGGTTTCGTCGCCTGCCTTTTGGGATTATCTCAGCCCAAGACCAGTTTCAGATCGACGAGGTGTACGAAGGCCTTAACGGAGTTGTGGTAATTGTGGACGACATCCTTGTCTATGGTCGAACTAAAGAGGAACACGACAGAAACCTCAGCGCGATGCTGCAAAGGTCCCGCGAGCGAGGAGTCCGGCTCAACCCCAAGAAGAGCACAGTCGGCGCTACAGAGGTCAGCTACTTTGGACATCTTCTCACAGCGAATGGAATCAAGCCAAATCCGCAGAAGATCTCAGCCATAAAGGAAATGGAGCCACCAAAGAACCGCGCAGAGCTGGAAACAGTGCTTGGCATGGTCAACTACTTAGCCAAGGTCGCACCCAGTCTCTCCAATGCTAATGCACGCCTGCATCAGCTGCTAAAGTAATCCAGTGAGTTCCTCTGGGAAAAGCAACACAACATCGCTTTCCAGAAAGTGAGAGACTTGATCACGAGAGAACCAGGACCAATCCTTGCCTACTACGACTGCAACAAAGAGCTCAGACTCCAAGTGGATGCGTCGAAGTATGGACTAGGTGCAGTGCTACTGCAAGAAGGAAAACCCAATGGCTACGCTTCCAAATCTCTCACAGACTGAAATCAACTACGCTCAAATCGAAAAGGAGCTGTACGCCATTCTGTTCGGATGTAAGCGTTTCCATCAGTATGTCTATGGACGACAAGTAATTGTGGAATCCGACCACAAGCCCCTCGAGTCAATCATGAGGAAACCGCTAGCCGCAGCCCAGCCAAGGCTACAGAGAATGATCCTTCAACTACAAAAATAAGACTTCACAATCACTCACTGTATGTACTGTTTTTCCAAGGTAAGCTCTGCACACTTTTGCAAAGTGATTCCATTTTCCACATTTAGTACAGCCTTTAGCTGGGCAATTTCCCTGTTCGCCATGCACTTTGTATCCACAATATCCACATGTTTTGGGGCGTTTAGAGTCTGTGTCGCTGACTGTAACCCTTGAAAGTTACTGAGCTCTTCAATACGGGCCATTCTACTGCCATTGTTTGTCTATGGAGATTGCATGGCTGTGTGCTCGATTTTATACACCTTTCAGCAACGGTGTGGCTGAAATAGCCAAATCCACTAATTTGAAGGGGTGTCCACATACTTTTGTATATATAGTGTATGTGCTTGTCCTCTCCTTTGTTGATTTAGGGGGCATCTTATAGAAAAATAAATAAATAAAAATTAAAGTCAGTAATAACCATTGTTAGCTTCTGAACAAACTGAGTAAAAACTCACAGACGACTAGAAAAAGCTCAAACCAAGTTTATTCAACCCACTGGGTCATACAGCTGCAAAGACAACATACAAGTCACACAAGCACATCTTTATACCTCACAACTAGGCAGAGTTATTTAGCAAATAAGTGTTACATTGTGTTAAGTGTTACAACTTAACCATGATCATATATGTAATTTGTGTGTCTTAAAGGTAAGTAAAAATGTATGACCTAATACATTTTGTCATTACTACCACATTCTGTCCTTACCATCACAGTTCATTATGTGGTGGTAATGACGTGTGGTGGGAATTACATTTTGACACTATTTGGTCATAAATAGCAGGGATTCTAGCATGCTAACTCCAATTGAACAGCTAGCATACAATGTATCCTAAATACACATAATTAAAACAGTTTCTCAAATCTAACATAATTTGATGAAATTGTAGCCTATTTGGTAATGTCGTACAAAAATAATATGATCTTCTTAAGTCATATTTACCTTAATTTTTCTATCATTTCCTGGCATCAAAATGTGAATTTCCCTCCATGACATCATGTGCTCCACTGTCACTATTCATATCCATGGTAACCAAGTACACAAACTTTAGAAAAAAAGTTATTATCAAATCAAATCAAATCAAATTGTATTTGCCACATGCGCCGAATACAACAGGTGTAGATATTACAGTGAAATGCTTACTTACAAGCCCTTAACCAACAATGCATTTTTTAAAGATTTATTTTTTAAAAAGTGTTAAGTAAAAAAGATAAAAGCAAATAACTAAAGAGCAGCAGTAAAATAAAATAACAGTAGGGAGGCTATATACAGGGAGGTACCGGTGCAGCGTTAATGTGCGGGGGTACCGGCTAGTCGAGGTAATTGAGGTAATATGTACATGTGGGTAGAGTTCAAGTGACTATGCATGAATAATAAACAGAGTAGCAGCAGCGTAAAAGAGGGGGGTGGGGGTGGGGGTGGGGGGCAGTGCAAATAGTCCGGGTAGCCATGATTAGCTGTTCAGGAGTCTTATGGCTTGGGGGTAGAAGCTGTTGAGAAGCCTTTTGGACCTAGACTTGGCGCTCCGGTAACGCATGCCTTGCGGTAGCAGAGAGAACAGTCTATGACTAGGGTGGCTGGATTCTTTGACAATTTTGAGGGCCTTCCTCTGACACTGCCTGGTATAGAGGTCCTGGATGGCAGGAATCTTGGCCCCAGTGATGTACTGGGCCATACGCACTACCCTCTGTAGTGCCTTGCGGTTGGAGGCCGAGCAGTTGCCATACCAGGCAGTGATGCAACCAGTCAGGATGCTCTCGATGGTGCAGCTGTAGAACTTTTTGAGGATCTGAGGACCCATGCCAAATCTTTTCAGTCTCCTGAGGGGGAATAGGCTTTGTCGTGCCCTCTTCATGACTGTCTTGGTGTGTTTGGACCATGATAGTTTGTTGGTGATGTGCACACCAAGGAACTTGAAGCTCTCAACCTGTTCCACTACAGCCCCGTCGATGAGAATGGGGGCGTGCTCAGTCCTCTTTTTTTTCCTGTAGTCCACAATCATCTCCTTTGTCTTGATCACGTTGAGGGAGAGGTTGTTATCCTGGCACCACACGGCCAGGTATCGGACCTCCTCCCTATAGGCTGTCTCATCGTTGTCGGTGATCAGGCCTACCACTGTTGTGTCATCAGCAAACTTAATGATGGTGTTGGAGTCGTGCCTGGCCATGCAGTCATGGGTGAACAGGGAGTACAGGAGGGGACTGAGCACGCACCCCTGAGGGGCCCCCGTGTTGAGGATCAGCGTGGCAGATGTGTTGTTATCTACCCTTACCACCTGGGAAGTCAGGAAGTCCAGGATCCAGTTGCAGAGGGAGGTGTTTAGTCCCAGGATCCTTAGCTTAGTGATGAGCTTTGAGGGCACTATGGTGTTGAACGCTGAGTTGTAGTCAATGAACAGCATTCTCACGTAGGTGTTCCTCTTGTCCTGGTGGGAAAGGGCAGTGTGAAGTGCAATAGAGATTGCATCATCTGTGGATCTGTTGGGGCGGTATGCAAATTGTAGTGGGTCTAGGGTTTCTGCGATAATGGTGTTGATGTGAGCCATGACCAGCCTTTCAAAGCACTTCATGGCTACAGACGTGAGTGCTACGGGTCGGTAGTCATTTAGGCAGGTTATCTTAGTGTCCGTGGGCACAGGGACTATGGTGGTCTGCTTGAAACATGTTGGTATTACAGACTCAGTCAGGGACATGTTGAAAATGTCAGTGAAGACACTTGCCAGTTGGTCAGCGCATGCTCGGAGTACATGTCCTGGTAATCCATCTGGCCCTGCGGCCTTGTGAATGTTGACCTGCTTAAAAGTCTTACTCAGAGAGCGTGATCACATAGTCATCCGGAACAGCTGGTGCTCAAATGCATGCTTCAGTGTTGCTTGCCTCGAAGCGAGCATAGAAGTGATTTAGCTCGTCTGGTAGGCTTGTGTCACTGGGCAGCTTGCGGCTGTGCTTCCTTTTGTAGTCTGTAATAGTTTTCAAGCCCTGCCACATCCGACGAGTGTCAGAGCCGGTGTAGTACGATTAAATCTTAGTCCGGTATTGACTCTTTGCCTGTTTGATGGTTTGCCTGTTTGATTGTTCGTCGGAGGGCATTATCATGTAATTTGTTTGTCGTGGGGGTAATGACACAATACTTAGAGACAGACTGTATTTTGTGTAAAAAATAAATAAAATAGGGCCTCCCAAGTGGCGCAGCGGTCTAAGGCACTGCATCGCAGTGCTAGAGGCGTCACCACAGACACGGGTTCGATCCCAGGCTGTGTCACAACCGGCCGTGATCGGAAGTCCCATAGGGCGGCGCACAATTGGCCCAGCGTTGGGAGGGTTTGGCCGGGGGGCTTTACTTGGCTCATCGTGTTCTAGCGACTTCTTGTGGCGGGCCAGGCGCCTGCAGGCGGACCTCGGTCGTCAGTTGAACGGTGTTTCCTTCGACACATTGGTGCGGCTGGCTTGCAGGTTAAGCGGGCGGGTGTTAAGAAGCGTGGTTTGGCGGGTCATGTTTCGGAGGACCTTCGCCTCCCGAGCCCGTTGGGGAGTTGCAGCGATGAGACAAAATCGAAAAAGGGGGTAAATACCAAAAATATATAAATAATAATAAAGTAAAATGGCTTATGCACATCTAATATGTATATAGTTTCCATTTATTTGACTCTTTTTTTAAAACATTAAATATTGCATTAAATATTTTCTCATTATCAAGACTTTTGTAAGTGTAATACATAGCAGAATGTCAAAAGTCTGGGTGTGAGACAGGACAAAAACTGTGCAAAACAGTGAGATCCAGACATGAAATGCTATAGAAAATAAAATAAACATATGAAAAGCTGAAAAAAAGTTTAAGGTTATTTTAGTCTCTACTTAATGGATGTGAAATAAAACAAACTAAATTAACATTTCATCTTAAAAATCTAATCCCGAGACACAAACAGGACCGTATTTGCAAAATCACCCTATATATAAACTCAGCAAAAAAAGAAACACCCCTTTTTCAGGACCCTGTCTTTCAATGATAATTTGTAGAAATCCAAATAACTTCACAGATCTTCATTGTAAAGGGTTTAAACACTGTTTCCCACACTTGTTCAATGAACCATAAACAATTAATGAACATGCACCTGTGGAACGGTCGTTAAGACACTAACAGCTTACAGACAGTAGGCAATTAAGGTCACAGTTATGAAAACTTAGGACACTAAAGAGGCCTTTCTACTGACTCTGAAAAACACCAAAAGAAAGATGCCCAGGGTCCTTGCTCATCTGCGTGAACGTGCCTTAGGCATGCTGCAAGGAGGCATGAGGACTGCAGATGTGGCCAGGGCAATAAATTGCAATGTCCGTACTGTGAGACGCCTAAGACAGCGCTACAGGGAGACAGGACGGACAGCTGATCGTTCTCGCAGTGGCAGACCACGTGTAACAACACCTGCACAGGATCGGTACAGGATGGCAACAACAACTGCCCAAGTTACACCAGGAACGCACAATCCCTCCATCAATGCTCAGACTTTCCGCAATAGGCTGAGAGAGGCTGGACTGAGGGATTGTAGGCCTGTTGTAAGGCAGGTCCTCACCAGACATCGCCGGCAACAACATCGCCTATGGGCACAAACCCACCGTCGCTGGACCAGACAGGACTGGCAAAAAGTGCTCTTCACTGACGAGTCGCGGTTTTGTCTCACCAGGGGTGATGGTCGGATTGGCGTTTATCGCCGAAGGTACCCTTCCTGCAGGCTCATCCTGACATGACCCTCCAGCATGACAATGCCACCAGCCATACTGCTCGTTACACCGAGGCCTGTACTCCGGAGCGGGATCGATTTGGAGGTGGAGGGTCCGTCATGGTCTGGGGCGGTGTGTCACAGCATCATCGGACTGAGCTTGTTGTCATTGCAGGCAATCTCAATGCTGTGCGTTACAGGGAAGACATCCTCCTCCCTCATGTGGTACCCTTCCTGCAGGCTCATCCTGACATGACCCTCCAGCATGACAATGCCACCAGCCATACTGCTCGTTCTGTTACACCGAGGCCTGTACTCCGGAGCGGGATCGATTTGGAGGTGGAGGGTCCGTCATGGTCTGTGGCGGTGTGTCACAGAATCATCGGACTGAGCTTGTTGTCATTGCAGGCAATCTCAATGCTGTGTGTTACAGGGAAGACATTCTCCTCCCTCATGTGGTACCCTTCCTGCAGGCTCATCCTGACGTGACCCTCCAGCATGACAATGCCACCAGCCATACTGCTTGTTCTGTGCGTGATTTCCTGCAAGACAGGAATGTCAGTGTTCTGCCATGGCTAGCGAAGAGCCCGGATCTCAATCCCATTGAGCACGTCTGGGACTTGTTGGATCGGAGGGTGAGGGCTAGGGCCATTCCCCCCAGAAATGTCAGGGAACTTGCAGGTGCCTTGGTGGAAGAGTGGGGTAACATCTCACAGCAAGAACTGGCTAATCTGGTGCAGTCCATGAGGAGGAGATGCACTGTAGTACTTAATGCAGCTGGTGGCCACACCAGATACTGACTGTTACTTTTGACCCCCCCTTTGTTCAGGGACACATTATTCAATTTCTGTTAGTCACATGTCTGTGGAACTTGTTCAGTTTATATCTCAGTTGTTGAATCTTGTTATGTTCATACAAATGTTTACACATGTTAAGTTTGCTGAAAATAAACGCAGTTGACAGTGAGAGGACGTTTCTTTTTTTACTGAGTTTAAATAGTGTAGTTGAAGTACGAAAAAGGGAAAATAAATAGATATTGTTTGTATTTACAATAGTGTTTGTGCTTCACTGGTTGCCCTTCTGGCAACAGGTCACACATCTTGCTGCTGTGATGGCACACTGTGGAATTTCCCTTAATAAATTAAGATATGGGAGTTTATCCAAATTAGGTTTTTTAAATCTTCTTTTTTTGTGGGTCTGTGTAATCTGAGGGAAATATGTGTCTCTAATATGGTCATACATTTGGCAGGAGGTTAGGAAGTTCAGCTCAGTTTGCACCTCATTTTGTGGTCAGTGGGCACATAGCCTGTCTTCTCTTGAGAGCCAGTCTGCCTACGGCGGACTCTCAATAGTAAAGCTATTCTCACTGAGTCTGTACCTAGTCAAAGCTCCTTAAGTTTGGGTCAGTCACAGTGGTCAGGTATTCTGCCGCTGTGTAGTCTCTGTTTAGGGCCAAATAGCGTTCTGGTTTGCTTTGTTTTTTGGTTAGTTTTTCCCAATGTGTCAAGTTATTATATTTTTGTTTTCTCATGATTTGGTTGGGACTAATTCTCACTACCTCTCGTCTCTCACTCCCTCTCTCCTGCCCATTAGGCCTCTAGCTGTCTCTCATAGGAGTGTGATAAACCACTCGTCTCTCACTCCCTCTCTCCTGCCCATTAGGCCTCTAGCTGTTTCTCATAGGAGTGTGATAAACCTCTCGTCTCTCACTCCCTCTCTCCTGCCCATTAGGCCTCTAGCTGTCTCTCATAGGAGTGTGATAAACCTCTCGTCTCTCACTCCCTCTCTCCTGCCCATTAGGCTCTAGCTGTTCTCATAGGAGTGTGATAAACCTCTCGTCTCTCACTCCCTCTCTCCTGCCCATTAGGCCTCTAGCTGTTTCTCATAGGAGTGTGATAAACCTCTCGTCTCTCACTCCCTCTCTCCTGCCCATTAGGCCTCTAGCTGTCTCTCATAGGAGTGTGATAAACCTCTCGTCTCTCACTCCCTCTCTCCTGCCCATTAGGCCTCTAGCTGTCTCTCATAGGAGTGTGATAAACCTCTCGTCTCTCACTACCTCTCTCCTGCCCATTAGGCCTCTAGCTGTCTCTCATAGGAGTGTGATAAACCTCTCGTCTCTCACTACCTCTCTCCTGCCCATTAGGCCTCTGGCTGTCTCTCATAGGAGTGTGATAAACCTCTCGTCTCTCACTCCCTCTCTCCTGCCCATTAGGCCTCTAGCTGTTTCTCATAGGAGTGTGATAAACCTCTCGTCTCTCACTCCCTCTCTCCTGCCCATTAGGCCTCTAGCTGTCTCTCATAGGAGTGTGATAAACCTCTCGTCTCTCACTACCTCTCTCCTGCCCATTAGGCCTCTGGCTGTCTCTCATAGGAGTGTGATAAACATCTCGTCTCTCACTCCCTCTCTCCTGCCCATTAGGCCTCTAGCTGTCTCTCATAGGAGTGTGATAAACCTCTCGGCTCAAAAGCACTGACGCACAGCACACTACATCCTGGGGAGAAGGCGCAGTGTGTGTATTTGTATCCATGGGTGTGTGTGAGAATGAGACTGTGACACTGTACCACAGGGGGTAGGACACAGAGGTCCCTGTGGATGTTTACCGGCCCTGGGGGTTGGGGGGGGCTTGAGGCTAACTGGGGGACTTTGACCATGGGAAGGGCATGTTGTGCCCAGAAGAGTTTAGCAGTGTGGGTTGTGGTAGATAGAAAGTAAAGGCTGAGGTGATGATATGTAAATTGACATGTCTCTGTTCAGAGCTATTCACTTAGAACATGTGGGTGGTGTGTTCCATTATGTAAAACATGTAGCTTACTCCCATCTGATTGTTCTTACAGTACACTCTGTGTTCTTGGTTACACTCAAATACAAATGAGGTAGAAGCGTCCTCTGTAGGTCAATTGGTAGAGCATGGAGCTTGTAACGCCAGGGTAGTGGGTTCGATCCCCGGGACCAACCATACTTAAAAATGTATGCACACATGACTGTAAGTCGCTTTGGATAAAAGCGTCTGCTAAATGGCATATTATTATTATTAAGCATATATCAAACCAGTTTGGCTTGTGTGTCACAGGGGTTAAAGTTCTCCGTCACTGCGACTGATTTCTGTCATATGTATTTTTTTATTTTTTCAATTGAATAGGAATGGAATTGGTCAAACCTGCAGTTTAATACAAAATTATCTCATTTCCTTAAAGCATGATGATCATTATTATTATTATTTATTTATTTATTTTTACATGAAAGGCGACGTTAACTTGGCCCCGCAGACAATCGATCTGAGTTATGGGATTTTTTGTTGTTGTTTATTTTACCCCTGTGTCAATCTGTCCCACCCCACACCTCTTAGTCTATAGTTGGCCTCTATGGTATACATTGATTGCTTATACCTTTCTCTTATTTTTTGTCACTGCTCCTGTTCCCCCCCAGGCACACAGTCCCATCCCAGATGTGGAAGGAGGCTCAGGGGAAGGACAGAGAGTGGTATGACAGTACCTTAAAATCCCCCTATCCAGTCATGCTGTACCTTCACGGCAACGCGGGTACAAGGTGATCACACATTTGATTTAAAAAGCACTTTTAATTTGACTATCTCAAAGTGCTACTCTAGCCTAGTACCCCTGGCCTACACCCTGCCTCTGGACTGTGACCTTAACTCACATGACGACCATCCACCTTCAATTTTCGTTGTTGAAGCAGACTCACAACCTTTGAACTTGTACATAGAAACGATGCGCTCTTCAAAATGGCTGTGATATGTGTGTGAGGAATGCTTTACCTTTCACCTGGTTGATAAACTTGTCCATCCTGTCTGTTTCAGAGGAGGGGACCATAGAGTTCAACTGTACAAGGTGAGAGGATTTCATTGCAGACACACTTGCAATTGCTTCGCTTTTATCCCACCCATACTCTCTATGTTGAGTACTGACCAACAAATAGAATTCAATGTATTGTTTGTGAATTGACCTGCTTTCAGTCTGATAACTGGAGTTGAGTTTGTTTCCCCTCCCCAGGTCCTTAGTGCATTAGGCTACCATGTAGTCACATTTGATTATAGAGGTAAGAGGGGATCTATTTCTGTCTGCAATGACAATATCACAATACCCCTTTAAAAATATAATCTGACCTGAGAACTTAATTTAGGGGCTTTATCTTTCATACTTCTTTTGTTGTTCCAGGTTGGGGTGATTCAGACGGGAGCCCCTCTGAGAGAGACATGACGTCAGATGCCCTGTTCCTCTACCAGTGGGTGATGGAGAGGGTGGGGAGCAAACCCCTCAACGTCTGGGGCCACTCGCTGGGAACAGGGTAGGAACACTCTACAGACAGACATCCGTCTCTCCATGACATTCATCTCAACATTTCACAAATTACATTTGTGTAAAATAATGAAAATGCATGTATGATTATGAACCAAGAATGGGATGAAAGTACTGTACTTTTGGCCATGTAGTGTATATTGCATTGATGCAGAAATTAACTTATATGTTGGGTGAATTTGTTTGTACCAGTAGATCAGTCAATTTACAGTAACTACTTTTAATTAATATTTTTTCTATTTTTCCAGGGTGGCCACTAACCTAGTCAGACGTCTGTGTAACATAGGTAAGCATCTGCTCATTAAGGCTATGACTACACACCTACTATGCTAAATATAGCCTTGATTTATGTAGCCTTTAGTGAGTGCAGGTGCTGGGTGTATCACCCAAAAAAAGGTTTTAGATAAACAACAGTTCACAGGTAGCATTCTTAGAATTATTGTGGTGTTATATACCTGTACCATTCTTAGAGTAATTAAAAAGTGGGCTAACTTACTTTATTGTGTTGGGGATTTAGAGAGCCTGGTTTGGAGTCCAGGGAGGGATTATGAAAAGTTTGACCAAATATTTTGACACTCCATTTATGTAAAGTTAAGTTTGAGGGCCACATATGCTTAGGTTCGCCATGGACTTTTACAAGCTTTCCTCACCCAATGTCCAGTACAGATTGAACATAATAAGCATATCCTAATACAATATTATGCTTCTTCCCATTTTCAAGTATATTCGATCACTAGTCAGATCCTAGCAAGTGAGAGAAACATTAACTCAGACTTTGTGTTGTATACTACTGGAGGCGCTAACTCATTGGCTGTTGGACTCAACACACCACAGACACAAGGCTCCTCTTCCAGTGGTACAGTGGGGAGAACAAGTATTTGATACACTGCCGATTTTGCAGGTTTTCCTACTTACAAAGCATGTAGAGGGCTGTAATTTTGATCATAGGTACACTTCAACTGTGAGAGACGGAATCTAAAACAAAAATCAAGAAAATCACATTGTATGATTTTTAAGTAGTTCATTTGCATTTTATTGCATGACATAAGTATTTGATACATCAGAAAAGCAGAACTTAATATTTGGTACAGAAACCTTTGTTTGCAATTACAGAGATCATATGTTTCCTGTAGGTCTTGACCAGGTTTGCACACACTGCAGCAGGGATTTTGGCCCACTCCTCCATACAGACCTTCTCCAGATCCTTCAGGTTTCGGGGCTGTCGCTGGGCAATACGGACTTTCAGCTCCCTCCAAAGATTTTCTATTGGTTTCAGGTCTGGAGACTGGCTAGGCCACTCCAGGACCTTGAGATGCTTCTTACGGAGCCACTCCTTAGTTGCCCTGGCTGTGTGTTTCGGGTTGTTGTCATGCTGGAAGACCCATCCACGACCCATCTTCAATGCTCGTAATGCGGGAAGGAGGTTGTTGGCCAAGATCTCGCGATACATGGCCCCATCCATCCTCCCCTCAATACGGTGCAGTCGTCCTGTCCCCTTTGCAGAAAAGCATCCCCAAAGAATGATGTTTCCACCTCCATGCTTCACGGTTGGGATGGTGTTCTTGGGGTTGTACTCATCCTTCTTTTTCCTCCAAACACGGCGAGTGGAGTTTAGACCAAAAAGCTATATTTTTGTCTCATCAGACCACATGACCGTCTCCCATTCCTCCTCTGGATCATCCAGATGGTCATTGGCAAACTTCAGACGGGCCTGGACATGCACTGGCTTGAGCAGGGGGACCTTGCGTGCGCTGCAGTATTTTAATCCATGACGGCGTAGTGTGTTACTAATGGTTTTCTTTGAGACTGTGGTCCCAGCTCTCCTCAGGTCATTAACCAGGTCCTGCCGTGTAGTTCTGGGCTGATCCCTCACCTTCCTCATGATCATTGATGCCCCACGAGGTGAGATCTTGCATGGAGCCCCAGACCGAGGGTGATTGACCGTCATCTTGAACTTCTTCCATTTTCTAATAATTGCGCCAACAGTTGTTGCCTTCTCACCAAGCTGCTTGCCTATTGTCCTGTAGCCCATCCCAGCCTTGTGCAGGTCTACAATTTTATCCCTGATGTCCTTACACAGCTCTCTGGTCTTGGCCATTGTGGAGAGGTTGGAGTCTGTTTGATTGAGTGTGTGGACAGGTGTCTTTTATACAGGTAACGAATTCAAACAGGTGCAGTTAATACAGGTAATGAGTGGAGAACAGGAGGGCTTCTTAAAGAAAAACGAACAGGTCTGTGTGAGCCGGAATTCTTACTGGTTGGTAGGTGATCAAATACTTATGTCATGAAATAAAATGCAAAAATTAATTAGTTAAAAATCATACAATGTGATTTTCTGGATTTTTGTTTTAGATTCCGTCTCTCACAGTTGAAGTGTACCTATGATAAAAATTACAGCCCTCTACATGCTTTGTAAGTAGGAAAGCCTGCAAAATCGGCAGTGTATCAAATACTTGTTCTCCCCACTGTAGCTCAAGTGTCTACAACTTGAATTTTTCACACCCCTCTGACTGGGTTACAGGGTCACAGAAAGTGTCTCCCCGGTAGAATTGTGACCGCTTTATTCAAGGAAGTGAATGTCTGAATTATGTGAATTCAAGGCAATTTATTTATACATCTTAGATAAGTATGGTTATATTTCATGAAGGTTGGTTTTGTGACATTCTATTCTCCAGGGACGCCACCAAACTCCTTAGTCTTGGAATCTCCATTCACCAACATCCGAGAGGAGGCCAAGAGCCATCCCTTCTCTATGGCAAGCATTTCCTCTTAATCCCTTGACTACATGTTGAATCTTATTTCATTTTATTTTATGTGAAGTTTATTTCTTTATTTTCTTAACTACCATCTGTGTCATTACATCTTGTAGGTCTACCGCTACTTTCCAGGCTTTGAATGGTTCTTTATAGATACCATATCAGCAAATGGCATTCGATTTGCCAGTGACGAAAAGTAGGTTGAACTTGATTCTTTCCAGACCATTTAGTTTAACGTTAGATTCAAAGCAGTGTTATGTCACTTGTTCCTGCTCATATGTTTCAAAATAGAGTATTCACACACAGTGCTAGCTGTGCCACTAGAGATCCTGGTTCGAATCCAGGCTCTGTCGTAGCCGGCCGCGACCGGGAGACCCATGGGGCTGCGCGCAATTGGCCCAGCGTCATCCAGGGTAGGGGAGGGAATGGCCGGCAGGGATGTAGCTCAGTTGATAGAGCATGGTGTTTGCAACGCCAGGGTTGTGGGTTCGATTCCCACAGGGGGTATGATTTTTTTTTAAAATAATAATGTATGCACTGTAAGTCGCTCTGGATAAGAGCGTCTGCTAAATGACTAAAATGTAATGTAAATGTAATAAGACCTCCCTGACACACAAGTATTCATCAAGAACTCAAACCCTTGTATCAAATGTTATATCAACAGATAAACAGACCGTGTGTGTGGTGTTTGCATGTTAAAGAGTAGAGGCATAGTCTGAACATGGCCGACCCAAGCTCTGTCCATGCCTTTTCTCCATGTCCTCTGGTATGTGCTGAGTGGGCTAACACAGGGAAGGTCAGACTGTATTGTAGGTGGCCTACAGAGGACATTCATTCATCTCTGTCAAGACTTTCTTTGTGCAGTACTTTCTTGTGGAGTCACCAATTTCTATCAAGCACCAGTATAGTATAAGGACCTTAGGGCCATTAAAGGGATACTTCAGGATTTGGGCAATTATCTACTTCCCTAGAGTCAGATGAACTTGTGAATATCTTTTTTATGTCTGGTATCCATGAGTTCATCTGACTCTGGGGAAGTAGATAAAGGGCATCATTGCCAAAATCCGAAGTATCCCTTTAACATACAGTTGAAGTCGGAAGTTTACATACACTTAGGTTGGAGTCATTAAAACGAGTCAACCACTCCACACATTTCTTGTTAACAAACTATAGTTTTGGCAAGTCGGTTAGGACATCTACTTTGTGCATAACACAAGTAATTTTTCCAACAATTGTTTACAGACAGATTATTTCACTTATAATTCACTGTATCACAATTCCAGTGGGTCAGAAGTGTACATACACTAAGTTGACTGTGCCTTTAAACAGCTTGGAAAATTCCAGAAAATGATGTCATGGCTTTAGAAGCTTCTGATAGACTAATTGACATAATTTGAGTCAATTGGAGGTGTACCTGTGGATGTATTTCAAGGCCTACCTTCAAACTCAGTGCCTCTTTGCTTGACATCATGGGAAAATCAAAAGAAATCAGCCAAGACCTCAGAAAGAAAATTGTAGACCTCCACAAGTCTGGTTCATCCTTGGGAGCAATTTCCAAACGCCGGAAGGTACCACGTTCATCTGTACAAACAATAGTACGCAAGTATAAACACCACAGGACCTTGCAGCCGTCATACCACTCAGGAAGGAGACGCATTCTTTCTCCCAGAGATGAACGTACTTTGGTGCGAAAAGTGCAAATCAATCCCAGAAAACAGCAAAGATGCTGGAGGAAACAGGTACAAAAGTATCTATATCCACAGTAAAACGAGTCCTACAGTGGGGAGAACAAGTATTTGATACACTGCCAATTTTGCAGGTTTTCCTACTTACAAAGCATGTAGAGGTCTGTAATTTTTATCATAGGTACACTTCAACTGTGAGAGACGGAATCTAAAACAAAAATCCAGAAAATCACATTGTATGATTTTTAAGTAATTAATTTGCATTTTATTGCATGACATATGTATTTGATCACCTACCAACCATTAAGAATTCCGGCTCTCACAGACCTGTTAGTTTTTCTTTAAGAAGCCCTCCTGTTCTCCACTCATTACCTGTATTAACTGCACCTGTTTGAACTCGTTACCTGTATAAAAGACACCTGTCCACACACTCAATCAAACAGACTCCAACTTCTCCACAATGGCCAAGACCAGATAGCTGTGTAAGGACATCAGGGATAAAATTGTAGACCTGCACAAGGCTGGGATGGGCTACAGGACAATAGGCACGCAGCTTGGTGAGAAGGCAACAACTGTTGGCGCAATTATTAGAAAATGGAAGAAGTTCAAGATGATGGTCAATCACCCTCGGTCTGGGGCTCCATGCAAGATCTCACCTCGTGGGGCATCAATGATCATGAGGAAGGTGAGGGATCAGCCCAGAACTACACGGCAGGACCTGGTCAATGACCTGAAGAGAGCTGGGACCACAGTCTCAAAGAAAACCATTAGTAACACACTACGCCGTCATGGATTAAAATCCTGCAGCGCACGCAAGGTCCTCCTGCTCAAGCCAGCGCATGTCCAGGCCCATCTGAAGTTTGCCAATGACCATCTGGATGATCCAGAGGAGGAATGGGAGAAGGTCATGTGGTCTGATGAGACAAAAATATAGCTTTTTGGTCTAAACTCCACTCGCTGTGTTTGGAGGAAGAAGAAGGATGAGTACAACCCCAAGAACACCATCCCAACCGTGAAGCATGGAGGTGGAAACATCATTCTTTGGGGATGCTTTTCTGCAAAGGGGACAGGACGATTGCACCGTACTGAGGGGAGGATGGATGGGGCCATGTATCGCGAGATCTTGGCCAACAACCTCCTTCCCTCAGTAAGAGCATTGAAGATGGGTCGTGGCTGGGTCTTCCAGCATGACAACGACCCGAAACACACAGCCAGGGCAACTAAGGAGTGGCTCCGTAAGAAGCATCTCAAGGTCCTGGAGTGGCCTAGCCAGTCTCCAGACCTGAACCCAATAGAACATCTTTGGAGGGAGCTGAAAGTCCGTATTACCCAGCGACAGCCCCGAAACCTGAAGGATCTGGAGAAGGTCTGTATGGAGGAGTGGGCCAAAATCCCTGCTGCAGTGTGTGCAAACCTGGTCAAGACCTACAGGAAACATATGATCTCTGTAATTGCAAACAAAGGTTTCTGTACCAAATATTAAGTTCTGCTTTTCTGATGTATCAAATACTTATGTCATGCAATAAAATGCAAATTAATTACTTAAAAATCATACAATGTGATTTTCTGGATTTTTGTTTTAGATTCCGTACATGCTTTGTAAGTAGGAAAACCTGCAAAATCGGCAGTGTATCAAATACTTGTTCTCCCCACTGTATATCGACATAACCTGAAAGGCCGATCAGCAAGGAAGAAGCCACTGCTCCAAAACCGCCATAAAAAAGCCAGACTACGGTTTGCAACTGCACATGGGGACAAAGATTGTACTTTTTGGAGAATTGTCCTCTGGTCTGATGAAACAAAAATAGAACTGTTTGGCCATAATGACCATCGTTATGTTTGGAGGAAAAAGGGGGTTGCTTGCAAGCCGAAGAACACCATCCCAACCGTGAAGCATGGGGGTGGCAGCATCATGCTGTGGGGGTGCTTTGCTGCAGGAGGGACTGTTGCACTTCACAGAATAGATGGCATCATGAGGAAGGAAAATTATGTGGATATATTGAAGCAACATCTCAAGACATCAGTCAGGAAATTTAAGCTTGGTCGCAAATGGGTCTTCCAAATGGACAATTACCCCAAACATAGTTCCAAAGTTGTGGCAAAATGGCTTAAGGACAACAAAGTCAAGTTATTGGAGTGGCCATCACAAAGCCCTGACCTCAATCCTATAGAATATGTGTGGGCAGAACTGAAAAAGCGTTGAGCGAGAAAGGAGGCCTACAAACCTGACTCAGTTACACCAGCTCTGTCAGGAGAAATGGGCCAAGATTCACCCAACTTATTGTGGGAAGCTTGTGGAAGGCTACCTGAAACATTTGACCCAAGTTAAACAATTTAAAGGCAATGCTACCAAATACTAATTGAGTTTATGTAAACTTCTGACCCACTGGGAATATGATGAAAGAAATAAAAGCTGAAATAAATCATTCTCTCTACTATTATTCTGACATTTCACATTCTTAAAATAAAGTGGTGATCCTAACTGACCTAAAACAGGGAATTTTTACTAGTATTAAATGTCAGGAATTGTGAAAAACTGAGTTTAAATATATTTGGCTAAGGTGTTTGTAAACTTCCGACTTCAACTATACTACCAACCATGCATGTTCAAACAGACTCCCCAAGATCTTCAGAGACTTGAATGTAACTGTAGCTTATTCTTCTCTCTTCAAGTGTGGACCACATATCCTGTCCATTGCTCATCCTTCATGCTGAGGATGACTCAGTCGTGCCCTTTCATCTAGGGAAGAAGGTATCCATTTTGGTTTGGCCTTCATTTCTTTATGAGGATAAATTGACGTCATCCTCATCTCGACCCCACACAACCTTCGTCTGGTCCTCCTTTTGCGGAGGATACAGGAAGCTATTTGATCTACAAAAAAATGTAATAGTTGATTTAATACAGATAATTAATATCCTGTACAATTTACAATCAGCTGTAGTCTTGGCAACAACTCACGCTAGTTACTATTCAAATTCCTCTCACTTCAATTATCTAAAATTGATGGTCTTTTATGATGCCTTTAAAACTCCCCAAATTTAAGATAAGAAATTAGAATTTTCTAAATGAATTCTGTGTATGCCAATGCCACGCCATTATTCATTTCAGCATAGTTAAGTGAGCGTTGTGGGAGCTGAGTCTCGGAGACAATTAAACTTGAATAATGACTTGGAAAACGCAGAGAAATTGAATTAATTCGATTTTTAATTACTATTGTTTTTATTTATTGGTAATCTTATTTCAATGGGAAACCTAAATGGCAAAATACCAGTTTCAATGCCTTGTTTTCTAAACCCCTCAAATGTGCATCACTACTGCACCACTGCAGACCTCTGTGTAACGCTCTGCATCACAGAACACTCATAGTTAACAGCAGGGCCAGGTCTATATTTGCTATTCTTTTAAACTGGACTGAACACGAGGCTCCCATTACTCCATTGTTTGTGTTTGTCTAATTCCCTTTCCTTCCTCCTCCCCTCAGCTGTACAACATAGCTTCCCAGTCCAAGAGCCTGAGTGGACACAAGGTCCAGTTCATCCCCTTTCCTGTCTCACTGTCCTACAAGCACAAGTTAATCTATAGGAGTCCTGAGCTGCCACACATACTCAGGTACAGCAGCTAGACCAGCTGGACACAGATACACAGTAACAAGGAATGTCTCACTGTTGACACTGTTGAGTGTCTGTCTCACTGTGTCATGACCGTTAGGCCAACTAAGCAGCAATTATTAAATGGAGGCAATTAGTTGTACAGTTGATGTCTACATTCTTGGCCGTCTTTGTACTGACATGAAGAGTCATGCTCAATGTAATTTTGTTTTGTTTTTCTTACAGTGACTTCCTTGGCACGATTCATCCCCATGCTTAACTGACGACCATTTCCTCTCAAATCACCCCCACTCACAGACACACATTGTCTAGCACACGTACTGAAACTCTTCCACTGTACGCTTTATGAAATAGTGTGTACATATATTATAAAACATTGAAACGCACATGCATGGACTGAAGAAGATGCAACCATTCCTTTATTTAGCATTCCTTTGACACCTAAAATACCTGCAAGACAAAAACGGAACACTGGCAAAGAGATGGGGATGGACAACTGGCTTGGCTTGGCTTGTTGTCAAGGTTACACAAACCAAGAGGATGGCTTGAGCACAAATAAGATGAAATATGCACTAATTTTAAGGAGCCAAGACGTCAAAAACCTAATGGAGTGAGAAGAACAGTGGATCGAGACGGGACAGTGTTTTTAATTGCATGATGTTTGGGGAATATACATTCACCAACTGGGGTAAGAAGGAGAAGGGTTGGTCTACTACAGGACCTGGAGATGTCTTCATTTTACAACTCATCTGCAGCATACAGAAAATGATCTGTCAATACCAGTCCAGTGGATCTTTTAACCTGTGTATTTTCCCAATTTTATTTTTGTTGTTACATTACAGACAGATCATGACTTAAATGTATCTGTTTTATTATTTTTGACTGATCTCAGATATATTTTGGATTTCTCATTGAGGACATACACTACCGGTCAAAAGTTTTAGAACGCCTACTCATACAAGGGTTTTTCTTAATTTTTTTACTATTTTCTACATTGTAGAATAATAGTGAAGACATCAAACTATGAAATAACACCGATGGAATCATGTAGTAACCAAAAAAGTGTTAAACAAAGCTTTGCACACTCTTGGCATTCTCTCAACCAGCTTCACCTGGAATGCCCCCACATATGCTGAGCACTTGTTGGCTGCTTTTCCTTCACTCTGCGGTCCGACTCATCCCAAACCATCTCAATTGGGTTGAGGTCGGGGGATTGTGGTGGCCAGGTCATCTCCTTCTTGGTAAAATAGACCTTACACAGCCTGGAGGTGTGTTGGGTCATTGTCGTGTTGAAAAACGAATGATAGTCCCACTAAGCCTAAACCAGATGGGATGGCGTATCGCTGAAGAATGCTGTGGTAGCCATGCTGGTTAAGTGTGCCTTGAATTCGAAATAAATCACAGACAGTGTCACCAGCAGAGCACCCCCACACCATAACACCTCCTCCTCCATGCTTTACGGTGGGAAACACACATGCGGAGAACATCCGTTCCCCCACACCGCGTCTCACAAAGACACAGCGGTTGGAACCAAAAATCTCCAATTTGGACTCCAGACCAAAGGACAGATTTCCACCGGTCTAATGTCCATTGCTTGTGTTTCTTGGCCCAAGCAAGTCTCTTCTTATTATTGGTGTCCTTTAGTAGTGGTTTCTTTGCAGCAATTTGACCAAGAAGGCCTGATTCACACAGTCTCCTCTGAACAGTTGATGTTGAGATGTGTCTGTTACTTGAATTCTTTGAAGCATTTATTTGGGCTGCAATTTCTGAGGCTGGTAACTCTAATGAACTTATCCTCTGCAGCAGAGGTAACTCTGGGTCTTCCATTCCTGTGGCGGTCCTCGTGAGAGCCTGTTTCATCATAGCGCTTGATGGTTTTTGCGACTGCACTTGAAGAAACTTTAAAAGTTTTTCAAAATGTTCAAATGTTCCGTATTGACTGACCTTCATGTCTTAAAGTAATGATGGACTGTTGTTTCTCTTTGCTTATTTGAGCTGTTCTTGACATAATAACTGATTGGCTCAAACGCATTAAGAAGGAAAGAAATTCCACAAATGAACTTTTAAGAAGTCACACCTGTTAATTGAAATGCATTCCAGGTGACTACCTCATGAAGCTGGTTGAGAGAATGCCAAGAGTGTGCAAAGCTGTCATCAAGGCAAGGGGTAGCTATTTGAAGAATCTCAAATATAAAATATATTTGGATTTGTTTAACACTTTTTTGGTTACTACATGATTCCATATGTGTTATTTCATAGTTTTGATGTCTTCACTATTATTCTACAATGTAGAAAATAGTAAAAATAAAGAAAAACCCTTGAATGAGTAGGTGTTCTAAAACTTCTGACTGGTAGTGTATATAAACTTGAATTAAATATTATACTTTTTACCAAATGTTAACATTGGTTTTGGGCTTGTCAGTCTCATTATTTGCTTTCTAAAAGAGAAGACTGGTTACTATTTTAGAACCCCTTTGGACCTTTTAGGGCAAGCTCATGAATTTTAAGATATCAGGAAGGAAACTAACTGAGGAGCTATTGGTGAAGGAAATCAGGGGTGCGTTCGAGCCTCTCAAGGTGTGTTGCATTATGGAGATAAAAATGGTCTGACTTGCGCCTACATGTCAACTGCATGTACTTTACAAAAATCATGTGATCAAAGGTTATGAAGTTGAAGACATGTTTATTTCGACATTATAAAGAAAATTATAAAGATCCACCTCCCCCGACTTCACTCCTTGATTAAACATTTTCCACACAACACTGCCACAGATGTCTCAAGTTTTGAGGGAGTGTGCAATTGGCATGCTGACTGCAGGAATGTCCACCGGAGGTGTTGCCAGAGAATGTAATGTTAATTTCTCTACCATAAGCCACCTCCAACGTTGTTTTAGAGAATTGGCAGTACGTCCAACCGGCCTCACAACCGTAGACCATGTGTATGGCGTCGTGTGGGCGGGTGATTTGTTGGTGTCAACGTTGTGAACAGAATGCCCCATGGTGGAGGTGGGGTTATGGTATGGGCAGGCATAAGCTACGGACAACGAACACAATTGCATTTGATCAATGGCAATTTGAATGCACAGAGATACCGGGATGAGATCCTGAAGCCCATTGTCGTGCCGTTCATCCTCCGCCATCACATCATGTTTCAGCATGATAATGTCCCAAGGATCTGTACACAATTCCTGGAAGCTGAAAATGTCCAAGTTCTTCCATGGCCTGCATACTCACCAGACATGTCACCCATTGAGCATGTTTGGGATGCTCTGGATTGACGTGTACGACAGCATGTTCCAGTTCCCGCCAACATCCAGCAACTTCGCACAGCCATTGAAGAGAAGTGGGACAACATTCCACAGGCCACAATCAACAGCCTGATCAACTCTATGAGATGTGTTGCGCTGCGTGAGGCAAATGGTGGTCACACCAGATACTGACTGGTTTTCTGATCCAAGCCCCTACCTTTTATTTTTTTAAGGTATCTGTGACCAACAGATGCATATCTGTATTCCCAGTCATGTGAAATCCATAGATTGGGCCTAATTTATTTATTTAAATTGACTGATTTCCTTATATGAACTGTAAACTCAGTAAACTCTTTGAAATTATTGCATGTTGCATTTGTATTTTTGTTCAGTATAAGTTATTTAATCACACAATGTAAGCAGGTATAGGGAGAGTTACAGGGTAAAATGCAATGGTCAGTTGTTCTATAGCTTTGGAATACAAATAATCAACTGTTAAAGTGGACAATAATGTAAGGGCAACCGGATAAATACAGTATATACAGTGCCTATAGAAAGTCTACACCCCCTTGAACTTTTTTTCACATTTTGTTGCATTACAAAGTGACATTGAAATAGATTTAATTGTATTTTGTTTATCATTGATCTACACAACATACTCAAAATGTCGAAGTGAAAATTAAATTCTATACATTTTTACAAATTAATACAAATCAAATAACTAAAATATAGTTGTTGCATAAGTATTCACCCCCTTTGTTTAAGCAAGCCTAAATTCGTTCAGAAGTAAGTTTTGGCTTTACAAATCACATAATAAATTATATGGACTCACTGTGTGAAATAATAGGGGTTGACATGGTTTTTGAATGACTACCCCTCCCTCTGTCCCCCATACATACAACATATATCTGTAAGTCCCTCAGTCAAGTATTGCATTTCAAGTACAGATTCAACTAAAGACCAGGGAGCTTTTCAAAAGTCTCATAAAGAAGGGCGTAATTGGTAGATGGGTAACAACAACAAATCAGACATTGAATATCTCTTTAAGCATGGTCAAGTTAATAATTATGCTGTGGATGATGTATTAAACCACCCAGACACATCAAAGATACAGTCATCCTTCTGAACTGAGCTGCAGGACAGGAAGGAAACTTCTTAGGGATGTCACCATGAGGCCATTGGGGATTTTAAAATGGCTACAGAGTTCAATGGCTATAATGGGAGAAAACTGATGCTGGATCAACAACATTGTAGTGAATCCACAATAATGACCTAAATGACAGTGAAAAGAAGAATAAAAATATACAGAATAAAAGTATTCCAAAACATGCATATGTATGCAACAAGGCACTAAAATAAGCAAAGGAATACACTTTTTGGCCTTAACACAAAGCCTTACGTTTGCAGCAAATCCAACACAACACATCACTGAGTAACTGCCTTCTTATTTTCAAGCATGGTGGTGGCTGCATCATGGTATGGGTATGCTTGACATCGGCAAAGACTGGGGAGTTTTTCAGGATGAAAAGAAATGGGATGGAGCTAAGCTCAGGCAAAATCCTAGAGGAAAACCTGCTTCAGTCTGCTTTCCACCAGACACTGGGACAGGAATTCAGCAGGACAATAACCTACAACACAACTGGAGTTGCTTACCAAGAAGACAGTGCATGTTCCTAAGTGACCAAGTTACAGTTTTGACTTGAAAATCTATGGCAAGACTTAAAAATCGCTCTTTAGCCATGATCCCCAACACCTTGACAGAGCTTGAAGAATTTTTTAAAGAAATATATATTGCACAATACAGGTGTGCAAAGCTCTTATGAGACTTATCCAAGAAGACACAGTTGTAATCGCTGCCAAAGCTGTTTCTAACATATATTGACTCGGGAGTGAATACTTATCTAATCAAAGTACACTGAGTATACCAAACATTAGGAACACCTTCCAAATAATGAGTTACACCCCCCCCCACACACACACTTTTGCCCCCAGAAAAGCCGCAATTCGTTGG